TTAAAGCCCAGTGGAGCAGGTCAGCCAGTCTGACTGAGAAGAGTCTCCTCCCTAGGGGAGGTGGAGACCATCTCTTCCCAGCAGCTCGCTGCCTCACCTTCCTCTCCATTGTCTCTCCCATCTATCATGTAAAGGAAGATGGGAAGAAGCATATATCAAGGTCATCTTACCTTTGTCACTTCACTGCTGCTTCTCCTTTCATTGAGACCTACAGCATATGACAATCAGTCTTCTCAGCCCAGAGCAACTGGAGGTCACATTTATAGGATCTGATGAGCACTAAAAAAGGTGTGGAGAGAAAGGTTCAGGACACCGGGGGGACGGGGGGGCGGCAGGATGACAGATTAGTTTGGGTGGAAAGACTGCTTTAGTTTAAAACCATGATTGAATTATGCAGGTTGTCTCATACAAGTGCCTTCATGAGTGCAGCATACATATTAAAACTATCTACCCAATGTCAGCGAAACCCTTTATTGCACTATAGCAACCTATAATGTTCTCACAGTATGTAGGAAACTGCTTCTGATGGAAGCTACTTATACCACACTTTGCACAACTGAGTGAGGAGATTGTACTGGAGATTGCAGTACCTTGTCTGGCTCTGCAGTTTCTCACACTTTTTAACATTAATGATGTATATATGTATAGAGATGGGCTTTTGTATATACTGTGTTGCATAGACAAGAGTCAGGGCTGGGATGGTGCTAGTGCTAAGGTGCACAGTTGACAGCCCAGAGGTCCCAAACTCGAGGTCATAGAAGCATTCACGGCGTGGCCTGTCAAAGTCCAATGGATCTGCAAATTCTGTTAAATACCTTGTCACAAGGATGTGGAAAAGGAAAGTGTAGAAAAGAGCAAAGGGAGAAGAGGGATTGGATTCTAAGTCAGGGCTGTCATGCACCCATGGCAGGGCCACATGCAAACCTCAAAAGGTTAAATTGTGTCCTCCAGGCTGTCAAATACTGTTCCCCCATTGCTCCAGCAGCAATTTCAGTGAGGACATTTCCACATTGCAACGGGGTGGGGAGAGGGGCACAGATTGCACCTGTATGATGCAGTAGTGGGGGTGTGCAAAACAGTGGGGAAGAGTGCCTGTGCAGCATGTAGCCCATGGCTCACCTGGAATGGCCTGCATGGGGTGTGGCCCTTGGAGCATGTGGCCTCTGTGGGCTTGTAAATAGGACAACCCTGTTCCAAATCATTAACAGAATTGAGCTAAAAATTGCAAATAAATATATTTTACAAGTGAAGTGAAAAGCATTTTCCCAACTAAGGTCAGCATTCAGAAATGCACCTCTTTCTGCAGTTGGTGTTACCATTTTGACCCAAAGCAGAGCTGACAGAGCAGATCTCATATTGTTTTAGGGGCCAATGGTGGCAACAGTTGTAAGCAGGAGCCTTGCCAGTCTATTAAAATCAAGTCATGGCAGGTAACCAAATGAGGTAATTCTTTGAATGTACTTCTTAATATTTATAGCTGTATAGTTCTCTGTTAGTGATTGCAGATCGTGAGCAGCTTTAAATTTATTTTAAGTAGCTCCTTGACTTTTTAGCAACAAATGTGATACTTGGCTAGATGTACACAGGAACTGTTTATCAGGCAACCATTGATCCTCTGGATCATGGTGTACACATAAGTGGTCTAGTCCGATGCTTACTGAATCCGTTTGTGGCTGACAAGCTCAATTTGAGAGTGACACAGCTTATTACAAGTGTCACAGATCCATATGTTGTCTAAGTCAGTGTCCAAAGTTACAGTGTGCTGATTTCTTATTTTTCGCTTTGCTTCCATCCTCTGGATCAAAGCTGCTTCATGTTGAGCTGTGCCCAGTGGCAAATGTTCTCTCCAGACCGGATGAGATTCTGCATGCTCCTCCCAGCTTTCTAGGTTAATGTTGAACAACTTCATATCATTTTTGCACACATTATAGTACTGCCATAGAGGGTGACCCCACTTTCTGGAGCCATCTTGAATCTCACTCTACAAAATATTCTTGGGGATATGATCTTCTCCCATTCTCCTGACATAGCTGATCCATTGCAAGCTTTTCTTTTTGATGGTGGTTCCTAAGTGTGTCAGTCCTGCATGCTCCAGTACATCTGTGTTTGGTGTTCTGTCTTCTCACTTTATTTTCAGGATCTGCACGCAGGAACTACACAGCATTTCCATCACTCAGACACAGCATTCCTTTCTGCTGCTCTGCTTTATGATAGCTTTGGAGCAGTTGATAGAGGAATAAAGCAGCAAAAGGGTTAAAGTGTGTCATGTCAGTGTGAACAAGAAAGAGTTTCTAGTGTTTTACCTTTGTTTATTTTTTAAACTTTCTCTTGCATTTATTTATCCCAGGCTATCAAAGGCAACCTTTGATTTCAAGAAAACTTTTTTTTTTTAAACAGATTCAGGAGAGTTGACAATTTCATCTAAGAGGTAAAGAATAATGATACATCAGGGCAAAAGGCACTACTATGCTTATTGTGGACCCCAAATAATCTGAATATTGTCCTTTTTGCATTGTGTGTGGGTGTATGTATGTGTTAACTTTTTGGTTAAAGTTACTCAAGAAGAAAGAAAAATGTTGCATGGAATTGTTATCCTATTCTAATTCTTTCAATATTTTGTTATAAATAGGTATAAGAGCCCTACAAGAGAGTTATTCAATTTTCCCTCAAGTTTACCCTGTGCTCTTCAGTGATCTCACAATCTCTGTAGTTATTATACTTGTCCAGTAGCTTGAGTCCTGTGTTGATACAAATTACTTAGACATTATGGGCTCCAACAGCATTGCTAGTGGTTGATAGTTTCTGTTAATATTGTGTATCAGGCTCCCAGATGTTCTGAAAAAAAAAGGACAGGCAATATTTCAACACAGCACTGTGATGATCAGGTATTAATACTATAGATAGTTGTCATCAGTTTTAAGGGAAACAGACAATGCCTTAATGTAAGTAGCAGATGAAATTTGATCTATAAGTATTCATAAACTTCATTTATATTAATCTACATGTCTATTATATGCAAATATATGGTTCTTTTTGTAATGCAGACAATGTTGGAAGACCCAGTTGTGACGTCAATACGGATAATTAATTCTTTTTTATGTTTGTGTTTTCCCCTGCCTTCTAGCTAGCCGTGAGGTGGTTGGAACACAATTGCCGCTATCAGTACATGGATGAACTCCTCCAGTACATCCGCTTTGGGCTTATGGATGTGGATACACTGCATGCTGTCGCTCTTTCTCATCCACACGTGCAAGCTAGTGAAACTGCAACAGCTCTTATTAACGAGGCTCTGGCATACCACCAGAGCATATATGCACAGCCAGTTTGGCAGACTAGAAGGACAAAACCTCGCTTCCAGTCAGACACCCTGTACATTATTGGTGGCAAAAAACGTGAGATCTGTAAAGTAAAAGAACTCCGGTACTTCAATCCAGTCGATCAGGAGAATGTTCACATAGCAGGGATTGCAAACTGGAGTGAATTGGCTCCCATGCCAGTTGGGAGGAGTCACCACTGTGTAGCTGTCATGGGCGACTTCCTATTTGTAGCTGGTGGAGAGGTTGAGCATGCCACAGGACGTACTTGTGCGGTAAGGACTGCCTGTCGCTATGATCCCCGTAGTAACTCTTGGGCTGAAATAGCTTCAATGAAGAACTGCCGGGAACATTTTGTACTGGGCACTGTGGATGAGTACCTTTTTGCAGTAGGGGGCAGAAATGAACTGCGCCAAGTTTTGCCTACGGTCGAGCGATATTGTCCCAAGAAGAACAAGTGGACCTTTGTACAGTCCTTTGACCGATCCCTTTCATGTCATGCAGGATGTGTGGTGGATGGTCTTCTTTGGATATCAGGTAGAAAACGTTTCACACAATTTGAGGTACAAACAAAATACCAAAATATTGTAATGAATTAATCAAGTCTAATTTGTCAGGAAAGGTCAGACTGAATCTTTATTTTAGGGGATTGATATTTTGCAAAATATATGTACGGGTACATAATATCAAGTCAGATTGGGAGAAGCAGCCTAACACAAATTCACCACTTTTCTCCCTACTACATATATCCTTCTGTTTCAAATCTGTGTACCATATGTGGTACCTCCAGTCATCATTCATAAATTGCAGTGAATCAAAATGATAACCTGTTTGTTGACAGATTTAAGATTAAGAATTCTGTGTGCTCACATGAAAAAGAAGAAGAAGAAAACCTGTTTCCATGGTGTGATCAAGTGTCAGTGCATTTATTCTTGTAAATTGAATGGAAAGTTAACTGCTTGCTTGCATGTGTATCTTGAAGGCAGAAGTATTAACTGCTCCCACATATTTTTGAGGGGGTTGGATTAGGAAGAACTGGCTTGAAGCATACACAGCTAAGATATAATAACAAATGCAAAAAACTATTTGAACATAACTTTAATATTGTTATAGAAATTGTGAAAAATAGGGGATTTCCGTTTTAAAGCTAAGATATGCTTCATAACTCAGTCAAATGCACTTTGTTTTATCTGTGCACGCTGGTGTGAGTCAAGGATGGGAATCATCAACCTTCTTATTGATTTTCTTGGCATTAGTTCCCAAGGTAATGTAGTCCACAGAGTATTTTTAAAGACATTTTCTTTTATTAAGGAATGTAGGATGAAAAATTGTAACACATCTACATTATCAGTGAAGTCAAGAATAAGTTGGTCCAGTCTTCAGGAAAGGCATGCTCTGGTTGCCATTCCTTACCCTAGAATTTACTACCTTTCACAGGTGCTTTAGGTATTGTAAAATGCTCCAGAATCTGTCCAGAGAGAAAGTATTATATGACTATAAGAATGTTATGTAGTTATGCTTCTATCCTCAGATGTGACTACGGTGGGGTAGAAGTGAGATCAGAGGGCCTTTTTGTAACAGCAGACTGACCACATGGACCACAGTGCAGACTGAGGACTTTGGACTTTGGGGGGAAATGTGGCATGCAGATAAAGTCTGCCACATAGCTATATCTCAGATTTTAACATGCTTATATCCTTGTATACACACAGGCATGTTAAAATCATGTTTGACATGTTTGGACATAGGGACATTGTGGCATGTTAGAGCTCATGAAGCGCAGTGAGCAACCATGCATTTTCCATCTGTGTCAAAAACTCCATCCAACTTCTCTTATGTCAGTACATATGTCTGTTAAACCTTGAACGTACATTTGGTGTCATATAAGATACGGTGGCAATAAGGTGCAAGGTACTGGTGCTAGAACCAGATAGAGCTTCTTGGTCTGTTTTTTGTCTTCCCGAGATACTGTTCTGTAGTTTTGATTTGCTAGACTACAGTTTATTATGAACTACTAAGGAGCATTTTAGTATTGTGTTACGGACCGGCAGGATGATAGGTATATTGAAAATACTAGTATTTTAAAATAAAGGTAATCTGGCAATAGCTATGGCCAGTTTTCTATTAGTAATTAATTGCTCAGGGATGGATATCAGCTCTCTCTGTGTGTGCTAATGGGTGAGCAAGGAAATTGTGCAGAGAGTATATTTTGCTATTCCAAAATATTGGTGCTCACAGTTTGGAAAATCTAGTCTCCCACAGCCAAAAGTAAGCTCTCAGAGTCAGTTACTGCAGGATATCCAGACACTGCAAATATCAGTGCCTAAAGTTAGATAGTGGTCCTGACTTATCACTGATGCTAATTAGTCACATCTATTCTTTTCAGTGTATCTCATAGGAGCTCAGTAACACCTCTAGAAATCAGGCTGCTTCTTTATAGGCATCAAAGTATGGGCTTAGGTGCTACGTCACAGTGTTGTAGAATCCAACCTGAAAGATTTATATGACTATAAAACTGTATAACTATAATGCCTACATTCAGGCATCAAGTTAAAAAATTTAGCCAATTTTCATTAAAAAATAAATATAATCAAATAAACTCAATACAAGTTTGTAGCCTCTGTGATTGTGATGGGAATCTTCTTAACACAAACAGAGCTAAACCATTGTCATTCTTTTCTCTGAGTCTACTGATAGACTTTGATGTCTCTGTTGCTGCTCATTGTCTTTCCAAACTGCAGCTGATTAAAATCTGACCAGAGACTTCTGGTTGCCATTTTTTTCCCCATGGCAAACATTCAGAATCTTTATCAGTTTCTTTTTCTTGTTGCTCTGGGAAAAAATCTGAGCAGAAACAACAGTAGGCGGAGTATAGCATCACTGTGAGTGAATCCGGGAAGGAAGGCTGTTTTTAGTAAACAGAGAAATTATACACATCATTCATTAATTAAATGCTCCAGATTTCAAAAAAAGGATTAACTAAATATTTGGTTGACACTGTTACAGTTAACTGCAGTGTACAAGAAATGGCAGACATCTTCTTTCTTACTACAGTGGGCATGGTTCTTCAGCAGGATCATTTCACATTATTTCACACCTTGGACAGTAACTAGAGACAGTGGTTACCAGATGGTGAATACGCTTCCCATGTTCTCTTGGCACCAGATATTTTGGAATCCTTTTGTAAAAGTGAAGTCCACTTTGCTTCCTTGTCTTTTGTTCCAAGTCCCCTATTTTTTATTTTTGGAAAGTGGGAAAGGTGAGTGAGAATTCATTAAAATACATTCTCTGGATGGGCAGCACAGCTCTGGGCAGATGATTTGAGATTTTATAGACTGTTGGATTTTCCAGGGCCCAGTTAACATTTGACACTGTGACCCGGATCACAAACGAACGGCACACCATTCATGCTTGTGAAGTAGTCACGTAAAATAGGCATAAAATACTCCAAAACCAAGCTAATTCAACATGTTTAATGATCACCTCCTTTATGAGAAAGTGGGATATTTTCCATCATAGCCACTACTTGAAGTATCCTTTTCAAAAAGAAAAACAAAACAAAAAATAAAAACCAAGCAAACAACCCCCCTTCCCCCCCACTCCCAGCCCCCAAGTACAGAAAACAAACGAAGAAGAACCTCTTTACTTTTCCTTAGGGATTAGCCTCCTTGGCTGCATCCAGACAAGCACAGCTGTGCAGTACGTGGCCTTGCAGACATGTCTGTGGTGCCACATACACATGTTCAGTTGTTTTCTGCGCTGGAAGGAAGCAGCATGGAGGGTTTTTTTGACCCCTGGATATCCAGGGGTCACAAAAACCTGTGGAGAAAAAAGCAGAGCGTGCACAGGCAGCGCACGCCACTCAAAAGCAGAACCGGGCCACCTGGAGCTGTGCTGCAGCTGCCAGCCAGGCTCTGCACAGCAGAATCACCACTGCTGCAGCCCCACGAGGCCCCCAGGTCCCTGGGCAAGGCTGCTTGAGCCAGCGCAGTGCTGGCCCCAGCCTCCCCTACCATCCCCAGGGTAACTTGCTGCGCACCAGAGGGCGCGTGGCACAGGCAGTCCCCAGAGACAACGAGCAACTGCCTAGGGGAACCAAACATCCACACCACGTGTGGACGCAGTCCCTCTGTCAACTCAAGAAAAGGGCTGGGATTCAGGGTACTTGGTTCATATTCTTCGATCTGCCACTGTCCTTGAGGCAGTACCTTTATTTTTCCATCTGCAAATAGGTATGATACTACCTACTTGAAATGAAGAAATTGTATAAAAGTGAAACAGTATTATCCTATTATTTTAGAGGATTTGAATCCCATGACTATGAGTCCATGTCAATTAAAATGAAAACTCAATTTTAAAAAGATCTTAGGTTTCTGCTTTTGCTCCTTGTCCCTCCCTCTTTTCTGGCCCAGCTTTTGCTTTTTTACAGGTGATGTTAGTGGTCACCTACTTTACAAAATTCTTGTGATGTTATAATATGTTTGGAAATTAAAAGTTTTATCTGTTAATGTTAAATTGAGATAGAGGCTTTTTTTTCCTAGTAATATGCTATAAAACTGCTCTATGGGAATCTACCATACCGATACAAATTAAGCTCCATGGAACTTACCTATCTTTATAAAAATAAGAAAACAGCCCTTTTGGGCCCATTTTCAATTAATTCATTTTTTACCAGGATTTCCCCTTCCAATTATCATTTTTGACCAAAGTTAATGGTACCTTCTCTCCCTTTATCTCCATTACAATTATGGCATTTATGGACCCAAGTTAGTGTTCATTTCTGTAGGTTGGGTGTAAAGGTCAGCTCTTCACTATTTTAAAGTCTGGGACTTCTTGATGTTTGGCTTGCAGTTGAATTGCATTATAAAATGGTGTGATGTGCCAGAGGGGCCAGCAGCAGCTTCAGAATTGGAGATGACAGTGCTCTACTGCCAAAAGTTCATCAAAATAAATGTGAAATGTTTAGTTCACCCATCCTGAATGTCCTGAATGAGACACAGATGGATAAAATGTAGGAGGTACCTATTCAGGAAGGACTACCTCATTGCCAAAAGCCCAGAACAGAGAAATGAGAGATGTGGATGGAGTTTACTTGGCACAGATTTAATGAGCACCATATATTTACATGTATTTTCTGAAAAAAATACATGGGAGCTCTTTGTTAACATGTTGCTATACATATCTCCTAGCTAACTCTGACATAAATGTTAAGTCCAGTGCTCAAGGATTTCATGTGGGTTTATGATATTTTTTTCGGGAACTTGGTTAGATCACAATGCATTTTCTCAGGTTTGTAGGTATTTTGCACATAAGAGCCTCAGTCATGTTCTAAGGACAGAAGGTGATATGTGAATACCCTGTCTGGGGCTTGCTTGAATAAGGATTGAGTGGTAATTTTTTCAGTCCAAATCCTTTCAAGATTGTTCTTGCTGTGTAGGGACCCAAAGCATCTTCCCCTTACAGGCAGAGCCAGGGAACGGAGGGTCTGTGACGTGCTCCCCTCTTCTCCAGAAAGCATCTGTGTACAGTGCTGTGTT